CCATCATAGAGGAGCCTTTCCAGAAGGTGGCCATGGACATCGTGGGGCCTCTCAGCAGGACGACCCGGTCGGGGAAGAAATACATTCTGGTGGTGGTAGATTTTGCCACCCGCTACCCCGAGGCAGTGCCCTTAGCTTCCATTGAAGCAGACACCGTGGCCGATGCGCTCCTGACCATTTTCAGCCGAGTGGGGTTCCCCAAGGAAGTCTTGACAGACCAAGGCTCCAACTTCATGTCGGCCCTGCTCCGGTGCTTGTGGGAGAAATGTGGGGTCCGGCACGACTGGGCCTCAGCTTATCACCCCCAGTCCAACGGGCTGGTGGAGAGGTTCAATGGGACGCTAAAGATGATGCTGAAAACCTTTATGAACCAGCACCCGCAGGATGGGGACAAGTACTTACCTCACCTGCTGTTCGCGTACAGGGAGGTGCCCCAGGAGTCTACCGGATTTTCGCCTTTCGAACTGTTATATGGAAGGAGGGTGAGGAGGGGCCCCCTGGACCTGATGAGAGACGAATGGGAGGGGAAGGCCACTCCCGATGTAGAGTCAGTGGTGGAGTATGTCAGCTAACCCCTGCCCAGCAAGCTGAGGTCAGGGGGGTGCTGCATCCGTACCGACAGCTGTTTTCCAACCAGCCTGGACGCACTAATCTGACTGTCCACCGGGTGCAGACCGGGTCGCACCCGCCGATAAGATGCTCCCCCTTCCGAGTCACAGGGAAAACTGCTCAGGACCTGGAAAGAGAGGTCCGGGACATGCTGGCTTTGGGGGTGATCCAGCCATCGGCCAGCCCTTGGGCCTCGCCGGTGGTGCTGGTCCCCAAAAAGGATGGGTCGGTCTGGTTCTGCGTGGCCTATCGGAAGCTCAATGCCATCACTGTATCTGATGCCTACCCCATGCCCAGGCCGGACGAGCTCCTAGACAAACTGGGAGGAGCTCGGTACCCCACCACCATGGACCTTACAAAGGGCTACTGGCAAGTGCCGCTGGATGCAGATGCCCGGCTGAAATCGGCCTTTATCACCCCTCTGGGGCTCTAGGAGTTCCTGACCCTGCCTTTCGGCCTCAAGGGAGCGCCGGCCACCTTCCAGCGCCTAGTGGACCAGCTCCTGAGGGGGATGGAGAGTTTTGCCGTGGCGTATATTGATGACATCTGTGGTCTTTAGCCAGACCTGGGAGGACCACGTGTCCCAGGTTAGACAAGTGCTGGACCGACTCCAGGGGGCTGGGCTGACTGTAAAAGCGGAGAAGTGCAAGGTGGGGATGGCGGAAGTGTCTTACCTGGGCCATCGGGTGGGGAGCGGCCGCCTAAAGCCGGAACCAGCCAAGGTGGAGGTGATCCAAGACTGGCCCGCTCCCCACACCAAAAAGCAGGTCCAAGCCTTTATTGGGATGGCAGGATACTACCGAAGATTTGTGCCCCACTTTAGCACCATAGCCACCCCCATCACTGAGCTATGCAAGAAGGGGAAGCCAGACAAGGTGGTCTGGACCGAGCAGTGCCAGGAGGCTTTCCGGGCGCTGAAGGAGGCTCTGGTCAGTGGCCCAGTTCTGGCAAACCCAGACTTTGACCAGCCCTTTATGGTGTTCACCGACGCCTCTGACACGGGACTGGGGGCGGTGTTAATGCAGGAGGATGAAAAGGGGGAGAGACACCCCATCGTGTACCTGAGCAAGAAGTTGCTACCCCGGGAGCAACACTACGCGGCCATCGAGAAGGAGTGCCTGGCCATGGTGTGGGCCCTCAAGAAACTAGAACCCTATCTCTTCGGGCGACACTTCACCGTCTACACCGACCACTCTCCCCTGACCTGGCTGCACCAGATGAAAGGAGCCAACGCCAAGCTCCTGAGATGGAGCCTGCTCCTGCAGGATTACGACATGGACGTGGTCCACGTGAAGGGAAGTGCCAACCTGATAGCGGATGCGCTGTCCTGGAGAGGGGGCCCCGAACTTCCCCAGGTCACTGGTCAGCGTGACCCCGCTCAGTTCAGTCTCGAAGGGGGGAGAGATGTGACGATGTGACCCAGCAGGGAGGGGGGAGTGTTGACCTGGGAATGTGCCCTGGGGATGGGAGACCTGAGAGCCTGTCACCTGAGCCAGGAGGGGGAGGGGGAGGTAACACCTCTGCCCAGAAATGTGAAGACAGGCTGCAGGAGAGAGCCTGCTGGGGGGGGGGAGGGCGGTTAGTTTTCAGTTTGGGGCTGGGTGGAGGAACACAGGGAACCACAGGGCTGGAGTCTAAGCTCCCTGCTCCACCCGAAGGAATTGACTGAGGGGTCCTGGTTGTACCCACAAGCTCTGTTTTGGACTGTGTTCCTGTGGTCCAATAAACCTTCTGTTTTACTGGCTGGCTGAGAGTCTCAGTGAATCCCTGGAAGAGGGGTGCAGGGCCTGGACTCTCCCACTCTCTGTGACAATTGTATCTAAGTTACCATTAGTTTTTAGTTCTGTGATCAGTGCCTCCCTACCTGTTGAGACAAAGTCTAACACAGAATTCTCCTGTGTTGGTTGCAACATTTTCTGAGTTAGGAAATTATCATCTGTAACGTTTAGGAATTCTGAGGATGTTTGAGTACATCCGCAGCAGCGTGAGACCTCCCGCATGTGTCACGCAGACTGAAGTGTCCGTCCCCCAAATCCTCTCTGATCACGCAGCTTTTCTTCGTACACAGTGCAGATAGGTGTGAACGGAGCTGGTCCGCCTGTTCCCCCGTGGGATTTGGAGATTTGTAGCAGCCACTCACACCCCACCTTATTCAAGACCATTTTCTTCTGAGTTCTCAGTGACTCTGAAACAGGTAATGCCGCTTTTGACATGTAGAGAGACCCGTTTCTGCCCCGCCCTCTCCCCTCTGGACCATTCAATCCTTCCTAAACACGTTATAACCATAGATTTTCAGAGCCCAGTCCTAGGAATCATCCCACCTGGTTTCAGATATACCAGCTCGATCAAATTTACGCTGACCCACGAGCCATTCCAAGTCCCCTTGTTTGCTCCCCTGGCTCCGAGCACTGGGGTAGGGTGGGGGCACTGTGACGAAGCGGGACTGTTCTTAATGTTTCCTCTGAATAGTGTGGGGGTGCCTCCGTTTCCCCTAGGCAGTTCTTAAGTATCTAGGGGGCGGGGTAAGGGTGTATGATCCTTGCAGAGCCCTAGAGGGTAGGTGTGTGCAGGGGTCTGGACACAGAGGATGGCCGACATCCTGTTTCCTGGCAACTGATGGCCTGGGCCCTTCCCCCCTGCAAGGTGAGAGCTAAAGGGTTGGAGAACAAAGGAATCAGGGGACTTCCTGGCCCGGGAAAGGGACAAAGCCCAGAGGAGGAGGGGCTGGAGAGAGTTTCAGTTTGGAGCTGGCTGGGGACATGGAGTGAAGGGCAGACGGAGTTCTCTGGCTCACTGCCCCCCAAAATGCCCAGCTGAGGGGTCCTGTTCTCTGCACCTACAAACTCTGTTTTAGACCATGTTCCTGTCGTCTAATAAACCTTCTGTTTTACTGGCTGTCTGAGAGTCACGTCTGACTGCGGAGTTGGAGGACAGGACCCTCTGGCTTCCCCAGAACCCCACCTGAGCGGACTCGCTGTGGGAAGCGCCCGGAGGGGCAGAGGATGCTGAATGCTCCGAGGTCAGACCCAGGAAGGGGGAAGCCGGGTGAGCTGTGTGTCCTGCAGACAGGCTGCTCCCAGAGAGGAGACTTCCCCAGAGTCCGGCCTGGCTTCGTAGGGAGCAGGTCCAGAGCATCGCCAAGGGACTCCATGACAGGCGCTTCACACATTTCTTCACTGTGTGTCCTTTGGGTCCTTCATCATTTTCATTCTCAACATCTAGATTTGGTGCTAAGTGCTCAGATCTGCCCTCTCTGTATCCCCACCCTTTGTTATTGGTGGCCAGCAACCTATACAGACCCCTCTCCCCCCAGACGAGGGACCCAGCCAGCGGGTCCCTGCCAGAATCCGCTGCCTCCTGTCAGAAGCCCGGGAGATGAGAGACGCCCACCCTGGGGCTGGGATACGTGCCGGGCTCACAGGCTCCTCCCAAGGGACACTGCTGGCCAACATAGCCAGTTCCCAGCCCTGGGAGCCACTTACAGAGGCTATAGGGCCAGGTCCTGCCCCCCCAGCACAGCCAGCCCCCCCCAGGTATCAGTCTCCCAGACAGAGCCCATGAATTCATGGCCTCCCAGCCTCACCTGCTGCCCATGCCCAGAAAGCTCAGCTCTGCTGGGTCCAGGGCCTGTCTGCCCCAGAGCTCCCCCTGCCCGCCCCCATGGGGCCTGCCCACCCCAGGGGTCCCCCTGCCCCTCTCAGGGCCTGGGTACCCTGGACACCCGGCCCCATCCCCTGAGCCCATGGCCTGCCCACAGCAGAGCTCCTCCCACCCCCATGGGGCCTGGATACCCGAGACACCCAGCCCTACCCCCCTGAGACCTTGGCCTGCCTGCTCCAGAGCTCCCCTGTCCCAGCTGTGGCCTGCCTGTCCCAGAGCCCAACCCCTAGGGCTTACTTGTCCCAGACTCTCCCATCCCCATGGGGCATGCTCACCCAGACCTCATCTGCACCCCACCCCGGGAGGCTGCGGCTGGACATGCCTCGGGGGCAGACTCAGGCCTGGGCACTGATTCACAGCAGTCACCCCCTGTGACAAGGCTGGTTCTGGCGGGTCCCACCTGAGAGTGCCAATTCTGCACAAACTGCTTCGAGCAGGGCAGTAACGGCCCCAGGCTGGGGTTTCTGTGCACACCAAGGCAAACCAAACCAGCCAGCCAGAGAGGACTTCGGTCTCACCCCACTGGCTAACCACAAGTCACACAAGCAATTCCCTTAGACACTCCAGTTTCCCAGTATCCCCACCAGTGCCCCTCATTATGGGGACAGATGGTTATGAAAACCAATACCCCAGTAAGAGAAAAGAGGTTCCCTCGATCCCAAAGGACCAAGCCCCAGACCCAGGTCAATGTACAAATCAGATCTTACCCACAAATCACGCTGTTGCCAATCTTTTCGAATCTAAAATCTAAAGGTTTATCCAGAAAAGGAAAAGGATAGAGATGAGAGCTAGAATGGGTTCAATGGAATCAATGACAGACAGTGACGGCCAAGTTCTTGGTTCAGGCTTGCAGCAGTGAGGGAATAAACGGCAGGTTCAAATCAAGTCTCTGGAGAACATCCCCAGCTGGGATGGGTCCTTCAGTCCTTTGCTTAGAGCTTCAGTCTGTAGCAAAGTCCCTCCAGAGGTAAGAAGCAGGACTGAAGACCAGATGGAGATGAGGCATCAGCCTTTTATAGTCTCCTCCAGGTGTAAGAACCCCTCTTTGTTCTTACCGTGGAAAATTACAGCAAAATGGAGTTTGGAGTCACATGGCAAGTCCCAGCATACCTGGCTGAGTCCCAAGGCGTGTCTCCCTTCTCACAATGGGTCAGTTGTGTAGCGGATGGTCCTTAATGGGCCACCCAGCAGGCTAGGCAGAGCTGACACCAACTTGTCTGGGTGTCACGCAGAAGCAGAGCAGAAGTTTGAAATACAGACAGTACAGAGCCAATATTCATAACTTCAACTACAAAAATGAGACACACATACAGACAGGTTTCAGAGTAGCAGCCGTGTTAATGCACTGAATGCATCCGATGAAGTGAGCTGTAGCTCACGAAAGCTTATGCTCAAATAAATTTGTTACTCTCTAAGATGCCACAAGTCCTCCTTTTCTTTTTACACACAGACAGCATAATCATAACCAGCAAACCATAACCTTGTCTTAGACACCCTATTTAACCCCCTTTATAGATTTGGTGCCACTACAGGACTTTGGTTGCAAAAATGATCTATACGGTCCCAGTTCATGTCAATAACGTCACACCACCTAACCACCTACACTCCTGCAAGAGACCCCAGACCTGACTCCCTGCTCCCTGCCCCTGCTACATGGGATGCCAGGAAATCACTCCTGATTCACACTGCGGTGTGTGGGGGTGTCTGTGGAAATCAGGCCGCCGTGGCTAGCCCAATGCATTGCCTAAAGGCACTGTGAACTTGGGGTGGGGGGGCAACTGGGCCAGGGGCGGCACTGCCTGTACTGGCCTGGCCCCGGGCCCAGGGGACTCACCTATCCAGCCACTTAGAGCCACACCCAGCAGATCACTTCTCCCTTCCCGGGCCCAGTCACCCCGTTGTGCCATTGCTCCCCCATTGCACTCCCCTACCCCACGGCAGAGGGGTGCCCCACTGCTGAGGGTGGCTCCCTGCCCCCTGCAGGCACTGGCAGTTCCTGCTGCTCCCTCACTCCCCTGCAGCATGTGAATCCTGGGTTTAGTCAGGATTTAGAAGTCCAAGGGTTTAGCTGACCCTGCGTCAGCGGGGTGTGACTGAGCTCTCCCCTGGCCCCTAGGGATGAGCTGAGGGAGGACTTCAGGAGCAGATGGTGTTTGCACAGATGCACCGATTCTGCCTGGGTGCAACAGGTGGGGCTGCTTCACCAGAATGGTCATGTTTGGTTGGTTTGGGGCTGCAAAGCTCTGCAGTACTGGGTGCCAGGGTACTGGGATATTGTTACCCCGATTGTCCAGTGATGGGCAGCAGACCTGCCCTGATGGAGCTGCTGCCCCTGCCCGGGCTCACTCACTCAGCAGGGGTAGGGGTGCTGAGGCCAGCTGGGCTGTGTGTCATCAGTGAAGGGTTTCTCGGGGAGGGAGCTGGTTAGACTTCAGTGCGAGTGCTGGGCTGGGGGTTTCTGAGTGTGATTTATTGCTGCCTAAGGCTGAAGTGGCTGAGCAGTGGCTGAAGTGGTGGAACTGGAGGCTGTGAGGATGGGAGAGCAGCAGGGAGACACCGAAGCTGTGAGTCAGCGTTACACAGACAAAACCGCACAGGGTCGTTTCAGGGGACAAGACAAGATGCCACGTTTACTATCACACAATTTGATTTATGACCAATAACTAATACTTAATACCTATGTATACACACACCCCCCCACACACACACACGCCCCCACCCCTCCCACACACTCCCCCAAATGTTCTGCAGCTGCAGTATAGTTACCAGTCCTGAATGTAGCTTGGGTTCGTAGCTTGTGGCGGCTAACTGGCCAGGAAAGCCGGGCACAAGGAAGAGCTGGGTCTCTGTTGGGCATGCACTGATGCCCTTCCATGTTGGCAGCAGAATGTTACCCTCCAAAATCTTCCATCTCATCCATCCTTTTCGTAGGCTTCAGTTTGAATCCAGAGTCTACAGGTCTTGCTGTGTCAGGCTGCCTCTGGGTCCGGTGTGACTGATCCCCCGTCAATTGCAGACGTGACTGTCAGCCTGGGACCTGGCTCTGATGTTTCTTCAATTGTACTTTTGTTCTTTTCTTTTGAGGGTGGACTCTTCTTGCTTTGTCAGGGCTGTTGTCTGCATCTTCAGCCCTTGGTGTTTACACTTTATTTCATCAGGACAGGCTGGGGCTGGAGGTTGATTCCATCATCCATCCATCCCTCATCCCCACATATAAACAACACTAATCAGATTACAGCAGGGTTTAGCAAAAATGAAGGTTGCAGCAAGCCTTTACAAAACGGAGTGAGCATTTTACAATGGAGTTTGGGACAAGTTAAAATGGAGTTTGAGGTACAATATGGACACGTGTAAGGAACGGCAAACAGGGAGCAGAAGTTCCAGTGTTGAAGCAGGTTGCAAGTTTCAGTGATTTAAGCAGCAATTGGATTGAAAGTGAAACTCAATTAGCCAGTTATTGGGGTAACCGGTTTTATGAATGAATGTTGTTTCATTCATAAAACTTTGCTTATGAAGTTATATTCATAAAGTGAACAACTAAAAACAATTTCATGGATCAGTTCCACACCAGTCGCAGAGGTGTTGCTCAGTGTCCCCCCTCCCATGCCCCGTGGGAGGCAAATGCCATGAACTCACCTCTGAACTCCAGCTCTTCGCTGACCAAGGACAGCCGGCTGTGAGTGGGGGGCCATGCAGGGAGACGGGAGTGGTGTGTTAGAGGGACATTTCTTCATTGGTCTTTCCCACTGCAAGGTAGGAAACTGAGGCAACAGACACTGGACAATGTGCGGTGGGGTTGGGTTTGCTGAAGTGGGCTGTAGCTCACGCAAGCTTATGCTCAAATAAATTGGTTAGTCTCTAAGGTACCACAAGTCCTCCTTTTCTTTTTATACCAACAAAGCCTGTTGCCAGCTGTGTCCACATATCTATTCAGGGGACACCATCACAGGGCCTAATCACATCAGCCACACTATCAGAGGTTCGTTCACCTGCACATCCACCAATGTGATATATGCCATCATGTGCCAGCAATGCCCCTCTGCCATGTACATTGGTCAAACCGGACAGTCTCTACGCAAAAGAATAAATGGACACAAATCAGATGTCAAGAATTATAACATTCATAAACCAGTCGGAGAACACTTCAATCTCTCTGGTCACTCAATTTCTGATCTCAAAGTGGCTATCCTTCAACAAAAAAACTTCAAAAACAGACTCCAATGAGAGACAGCTGAATTGGAATTAATTTCCAAACTGGATACAATTAACTTAGGCTTGAATAGAGACTGGGAGTGGTTGAGTCATTATACTAAGTGAAACTATTTCCCCTTGTTTATTCCTCCACAGCTCCCTTCATCAGATGTGTACACATCTGATGAAGTGAGCCAAAAACCCCCACCCCAATAAACTAATAAATTTTTGTGTGTAAAAAAAACCTTTCCTCTTTCCTTTTATAAATAACAACAACTGTTCTTCTTATCCCAATTTCTTCTTTTTTTTTTTTTCTCCCCCCCCCCCACTGTTCCTCAGACGTTCTTGTTAACTCCTGGAAATGGCCTACGTTGATTATCACTTCAAAAGGTTTTCTCTCCCCCCACCCCACTCTCCTGCTGGTAATAGCTCATCTTAAGTGATCACTCTCCTTACAATGTATATTTTTTCATGTTCTGTGTGTATATAAATCTCCTCACTGTACTTTCCACTTTATGCATCCGATGAAGTGAGCTGTAGCTCACGAAAGCTTATGCTCAAATAAATTGGTTAGTCTCTAAGGTGCCACAAATACTCCTTTTCTTTTTGCGGATACAGACTAACACGGCTGCTACTCTGAAACTTTTCTTTTTATGTTTGTGGATGTGGCTATGGTGATTTCTCAGCCTGATGCCTGCGTGACGAAGTGGGACTGTTCTTAATGTTTCCTCTGAATAGTGTGGGGGTGCCTCAGTTTCCCCTAGGCAGTTCTTAAGTATCTAGGGGGTGGGGTAAGGGAGTATGATCACTGCAGTTGACTTATAACAATTTATTTGAATGAGCTTTTAGCTAACTCACTTCATCAATTTCATCAGATGTAGCTCAAACTCATGCTCAAATAATTGGTTAGTCTCTAGAGGCCCCCCTTTTTTTTGGATCAGGCTAACACGGCTGTTCCTCTGAAACCTGCAGAGCTCTAGAGGGCAGGTGTGTGCAGGGGTCTGGACACAGAGAATGGCCGACACGACACCCTGTTTCCTGGCAACTGATGGCCTGGGCCCTTCCCCCCTGCAAGGTGAGAGTTGAAGGGTTGGAGAACAAAGGAATCCGGTGACCTCCTGGCCCAGGAAAGGAACAAAGCCCAGAGGAGGAGGGGCTGGGGGGAGTTTCAGTTTGGGGCTGGCTGGGGATGAGGAGTGAAGTGCAGACGGGGTTGTCTAGCTCATTGCCCGCCAAAATGGACCCGGCTGAGGGGTCCTGTTCTCTGCACCTACAAGCTCTGTGTTAGACCATGTTCCTGTTGTCTAATAAACCTTCTGTTTTACTGGCTGGCTGAGAGTCACGTCTGACTGTGGAGTTGGGGTGAAGGACTCTCTGGCTCCCCAGGACCCCGCCCGAGCGGACTGGCTGTGGGAAGCGCACGGAGGGGCAGAGGAGGCTGAATGCTCCGAGGTCAGACCCAGGAAGGTGGAAGCCGGGTGAGCTGTGTGTCCTGCAGACAGGCTGCTCCCAGAGAGGAGACCTCACCAGAGTCCTGCCTGGCTTCGTAGGGAGCAGTTCCAGAACATCAGCGACAGCTTGGTTCCCTGCTCTCTTGTTATCCAGAGGCTCTGTGCTTGCGAGAGGGGTGCCTAGGGGTGGTGGTTGGTGTCCCAGGTTGCTGGGTGGGGGCTCGAGCTGGTTCTGTTTTGAACCTGCCCCGGCATTAGTTGCTGCCGACTCCACCTGGCAGGTGGGTTACACCTACCTGGGGAACAAATATTTAATCACAGGCGGAGAAAGGGCTGACGTGGTCGGAGGCTGGAAGCTGAAGAGAGATGAATTCCGACTGGAAATAAGGCGTAAATTTTCAACAGTGAGAGTAGTTAGCTCGTGGGCCAATTTCCCCAGGGCCGGCGTGGATTCTCTGTCACTGGCGACTGTCAGATCCAGACTGGCGGGCTGGCTAAAAGCTTTGCCCTAGCAATGATCTGGGGCAGGTCTCTGGCTGTGTGACACGGGGTCAGCCCATGGTTCCTTCTGGCCCTGAAGTCTGGAGCCTGGGGTCTGTGCTCCAACCCGGGCTGCCCCGCGGCATCATAAGAACATCAGAGCGGCCAGACGGGCTCAGACCCAAGGTCCATCGAGCCCTGTGTCCTGTCTGCCGACAGCCCGGAGGGGGTGAACAGAGCAGGCCATCGTCGAGGCAACAAGAAAATATCACTCTGGGCTGTGAACAGCGGGGCACCCTGACCCTCTGGCTTGGTTCTCCCCCCCGTGGACGCAGCAAGGGGGATTCCCTCGCGGCAGTACATGTCTACACCAGGGTGCCACTCTAGCCCTCGCGGCATCGACATGCCCAGGGAGCGCATGGGGAAAGCTGCTGGCTCCAGGCAGGGGCTGGCACCGCCTCTATTCATGCTGGGCGGGGCTCATCCTTCTAGGGAGCTGTGGGGCCTGGGTGCTGGATCCCTGGGGCCTCTACCCTGCCAGCAGCTCCGTCCCCAGTGCACTGGGCCCCCCGCAGCCCTCCGGGACAGACGGCTGCGGGACAGCGCCTAGCCATGGTGGCCCCCATTTGCCCCCAGCCAGAGAGCAGGTGGGTAGGAAGAGCAGCCCTATTGGCTGTGGGGTCTGGCCATGGGGGAACTATGGCTCGGGGGCCCATGGGCGACACTCAGCAGGGAAGGGCATTCAGTAAGGAATGGAGCATGGTCCCCAGGAAGGCGATGCTCTGGTGAGGAGCAGGAATAGCCGGGAGCTCCCCCACGGTCAGCCCTCCTGCCCCCCCCACAGCGCCCCCTGCTGGGAGAGGTGGGGCTGGAGCAGCCCGAGATCCCCCATGGTCAGCCCTCCTTCTCCCCACCCCACAGCATCCCCTGGTGGGAGAGGTGGGGCTGGAGTAGCCGGGAGCTCCCCCATGGTCAGCCCTCCTGCCCCCCCCCACAGCGCCCCCTGCTGGGAGAGGTGGGGCTGGAGCAGCCGGGAGCTCCCCCATGGTCAGCCCTCCTGCCCCCCCCACAGCGCCCCCTGCTGGGAGAGGTGGGGCTGGAGCAGCCAGGAGCTCCCCCATGGTCAGCCCTCCTGCCCCGCCCACAGCGCCCCCTGCTGGGAGAGGTGGGGCTGGAGCAGCCCGGAGATCCCCCCACAGTCAGTGCTCTGCCCCGCTTCCTATAGAGCCCCCTGCTGGGAGAGGCTGGAGTAGCTGGGAGCTGCCCTTCAGCCAGCCTTTCTGCCCCACTCCCCACAGCGCCCCCTGCCTGGGGAATAAGGAGGCGGGGGCAGGGCTATCCTGGGGGCACGGGGAGCTCTGCCAGGCTGGGAAAGGTGAGTGGGGAGGGCTGGAGCCGTGGGGTGCGAATGAAGGAAGCAGGGACGGAGAGGGGTGTGAGGCCCGGGGGTGGGGGAAGCTGTACCAACAGCAGTCTGTAACCACATACCCTGCTGGCCGGCACCCCCACGGCCCCCCAGCTGGGCCCCTCCCCACCAAGGGTTACCAGCTCTGCGCTGGGGCCTGCGGGGGCGGGGGCTTGGAGCTGTGCCTCCCACCACTGTGAGTCACGGGGAGGGGCTGGAGCACATCTGGAGCACATCTGGCCCTCTGCAGCGGGCGGGGATGGCAGGGTTAACGGGGCTGGGCTCTGCACACACTCAGCGCCACGCAGCCGGCCGGGCAGTGCCTTAGCATGTCCCCCCTGGGCCCGTGGGTGCCGAGGGACCCCGCGTGGCTGCGCGTGGCCTGGGTCGCGGCGCTGGGGCTGGGCTCCGTCTGCATCTGGGTCCTGTTCCTGGTGTGCTCCCTGTGGGGCCGGCAGCCTGTGCGCCCCGGGGCCCAGCCGCTGGCAGGTAGGTGCGCTGGGGTCCCCCGTCCTGCACCCAGCCGGCGTCTGGTCCTGCTCTGGGCCAGGGCTCAGTGTGTCCCCGTGTTGCTAGCACAGGCCATGGGGGGCCTGACCCAAGGACCCCCTCTCCCCATTACAGACTGCCCCTAGCGACACTGCGGGCCTGCCCCCACCCGGACGCACGGCAAGGGGAGTTTTACTCTGAGCCCCGCGGTGCCAGGATCAGGCCCTCAGAGGGGCCCGCTGGCATGAGGCTGGGTGCACATTACCCAGACCACGGTTGTCGCTGGACCCAGCTGCCTCCCCACAGGCCGGCCCTCGTCAGTCACCCCCAGCCCAGCCCAGCCCTACCCGGCCCGGCCCTCGTCACCCTGACTCTGGCCTGGCCCTTGTCACCCCCAGCCTGGCCCCATCACCCTGACTCTGGCCTGGCCCTTGTCACCCCCAGCCCGGCCCTCGTCACACCCAGCCCGGCCCTGTCACCCTGATTCCAGCCCAGCCCTCGTCACCCCCGACCCAGCCCTGTCACCCTGACTCTGGCCTGGCCCTTGTCACCCCCAGCCCGGCCCCGTCACCCTGACTCTGGCCCTTGTCGCCCCCAGCCCGGCCCTCATCACCCCCAGCCCGGCCCTGTCACCCTGACTCCAGCCCAGCCCTCGTCACCCCCGACCCAGCCCTCGTCACCCTCACCCAGCCCTGTCACCCTGACTCCAGCCCAGCCCTTGTCACCCCTGACCCAGCCCTGTCACCCTGACTCGGGCCTGGCCCTTGTCACCCCCAGCCCGGCCCTCGTCACCCCCGACCCAGCCCTGTCACCCTGACTCTGGCCCGGCCCTCGTCACCTCCACCCAGCCCTGTCACCCTGACTCCAGCCCAGCCCTCGTCAGTCACCTCCAACTCAGCTCGGCCCTCATCACCCCTGACCCAGCCCTGTCACCCTGACTCCAGCCTAGCTCTCTTCACCCCCAGCCCGGCCCTATCACCCCAACTCCAGCCCAGCCCTCGTCACCCCCACCCGGCCCTGTCACCCTGACTCCAGCCCAGCCCTCGTCACCCCCGACCCAGCCCTGTCACTCTGACTCTGGCCTGGCCCTTGTCACCCCCAGCCCGGCCCCGTCACTCTGACTCTGGCCCTTGTCGCCCCCAGCGCGGCCCTCATCACCCCCAGCCCGGCCCTGTCACCCTGACTCCAGCCCAGCCCTCGTCACCGCCGACCCAGCCCTCGTCACCCTCACCCAGCCCTGTCACCCTGACTCCAGCCCAGCCCTCGTCACCGCCGACCCAGCCCTCGTCACCCTCACCCAGCCCTGTCACCCTGACTCCAGCCCAGCCCTTGTCACCCCGACCCAGCCCTGTCACCCTGACTCGGGCCTGGCCCTTGTCACCCCCAGCCCAGCCCTCGTCACCCCCGACCCAGCCCTGTCACCCTGACTCTGGCCCGGCCCTCGTCACCTCCACCCAGCCCTGTCACCCTGACTCCAGCCCAGCCCTTGTCACCCCTGACCCAGCCCTGTCACCCTGACTCGGGCCTGGCCCTTGTCACCCCCAGCCCGGCCCTCGTCACCCCCGACCCAGCCCTGTCACCCTGACTCTGGCCCGGCCCTCGTCACCTCCACCCAGCCCTGTCACCCTGACTCCAGCCCAGCCCTCGTCAGTCACCTCCAACTCAGCTCGGCCCTCATCACCCCTGACCCAGCCCTGTCACCCTGACTCCAGCCTAGCTCTCTTCACCCCCAGCCCGGCCCTATCACCCCAACTCCAGCCCAGCCTTCGTCACCCCCACCCGGCCCTGTCACCCTGACTCCAGCCTAGCCCTCGTCACCTCCAGCCCGGCCCTGTCACCCTGACTCTGGCCCGGCCCTCGTCAGTCACCCCCAGCCCAGCTCAGCCCTCATCACACCTGACCCGGCCCTCATCACCCACAGCCCTAGTGACTCGAAGCCCAGCTCTGTCACCCCAACCCTTGTCACCCCCCAACCCGGCCCTGTCACCCTGACTCCAGCCTGGCCCTCATTAGTCATCCCGAGCCCAGCCCTTGTCACCCCGACCTGGCCCTCGTCACCCCTTAGCCCTCGTCACCAACTCCAGCCTGACCCAGTCCTTGTCACCCCCAGCCCGGCCCGATTCTCCTCACTCCCAGCCCAGCCCTGTCACCCCCAGCCCCCGTCACCGCCCAGCCCGGCCCAGCCCTCGTCACCCCCAGCCCAGCCCTGTCACCCCAATCCTCGTCATCTCCAACCCGGCCCTGTCCCCTGGACTCCAGCCCGGCCCTCATCACCCCCAGCCCAGCCCAGCCCGGCCCTCGTCACCCCCAGCCCTCATCACCCTGACTTCATCCCTGCCCTTGTCACCCCCCAGCCCTGTCACCCCAATACTTGTCACTCTTGACCCAGCCCTGTCACCCTGACCCCCGCTCGGCCGTTATCACCCCTAGCCCAGCCCAGCCCTCACACACCCACCAGCCCAGCCCTGTCACCCTGAACCAGGCCCTTGTCACCCCAGCCCGTCCTTGGCCCATCCCCCCAGTCCTCGTCAGCCCCTGCTCCCCCAGGCCTGACAATACCAGTAGCTGCCATGGCAGCCACTTGTTAATGGTTGTGCTGTGGCAGCGCCCAGCACCCCATCTGGATCGGGCCTTGCCACGCCGGGCACCAGAGGTGCAGGCAGACCCTACCCAAGCTCCCAGCTGGCTTCAGAGACAGCATAAGAGAGTGCGACAAGGGCTGGGGAGGTGGGTGGGACACCAGGGACACAGGGGAAGGACAGGTTTGAGGGCAGCACCGCCTGTTATTATGGGGCGGTGGGGAATCGCCGCTCGGGACCGCCTGTTCCAGTGGGGAACCACTGGGATCGGTTCTTGGCTGCCCCACTCCCGCGGAACAGGGGTTAAAAGCAGCCCTGGAGAGGGCTGCGGCTGGGAAGAGGAGTGAAAGCAGCGGAGGGCCTAGCTGACCACAGGTGTGGCCGGCCCAGTCAGGCCCCATAGAGGGGCTGCGAGCCAGGAGCTGTAGGCGTCTCTCTCCAACCCTGGAGGGGGAAGGACCTGGCTGCCTGGGAGCACAGGGCACCTGGGGCACAGCAGTGCTGGGGAAGGGCGAGAGGAGCTGGGGAGCTCCAGCCTGGCAACTCCCCAGGCTGAGGGCTTGATGAAGGCCAAAGCAGGCACTGGGGTTGGGAGGGGCAGCCCGGGGTGAGGCTGAGGCAGCTAGTCCAACCCCCTTGCCAGTGCTAAGTGGCCATCACAGACTGCAGTTTGCCCCGGTGAGCGGGGGCGAGATGAAGACTGGCAGTAGCCACTGAGGCAAGGTGGGCAGAGAGGGTTGGGGGTCCCCTGGGGAGGGGAGACCCAGAGTGTGGGGGTACTGTGGTGGGCAGAACCCCAGGGTAAGGGGCACCGGGGTCTGGGAGGGACATGGGGGCCTGAGCCAGGCGAGACACCAGCCAGCAGAGGGAGCTCTGTATGCTGGAAAGGAGCTAATTCCCAGGCAACCAGCAGGAGGCGCCGCACCAGTGGGTCCGCGATCTGCTACAGCCCTACCCTATTTAACATCTTCATCAACGACCTTGAAGAAACCGATGTGAGGCAGCAGGGAGGGGGGAGCGTTGACCTGGGAATGTGGCAGGGGAGTTTCACTGGGGATGGGAGACCTGAGAGCCTGTCACCTGAGCCGGGACGGGGAGGGGGCCAGGTAACACCTCTGCCCGGGAAACTGGACAAAGGCTGCAGGAGGGAGCTTGCTGGGTGAGTTTAGTTGGCAGTTTGGGGCTGGGGAGAGGAACACAGGGAACCCCAAGGCTGGGGCCTAAGCTCCCTGCTCCCCCAGAAAGACTTGAGTGAGGGGTCCTGGTTGTACCCACAAGCTCTGTGTTAGACTGTGTTCCTGTTGTCCAATAAACCTTCCGTTTTACTGGCTGGCTGAGAGTCACAGCGAATCCCAGGAAGAGGGATGCAGGGCCTGGACTCCCCCACACTCCGTGACAACCATAAAATCAGCACTGATAAAGTCTGCAGCTAACACAAAGGTTGGGGGAGCGGTGGGGAGGACGAGTCACTGATCTCGCTCTGGGTGGCTTGGTAAGCTGGGCGCAAGCAAACAGGATGTGTTTGAATAGGGCTAACTGTAAACATAGCCACCTAGGACCAGAGCCTGCAGGCCATGCTTACAGCTGGAGGGCTCTATCTTGGGAAGCAGGGACTCCGACAAAGGTTTGGGGGTTGTGGTGGATAATCAGTGGAACATGAGCTCCCGGTGTGATGCTGTGGCCAAAAGGACTAAGGGGACAGGGGAATCTCGAGGCAGAGCACAGAGGTTATGGTACCGCTGTATGTGGCCCGGGTGTGAGTGTGCTGGGATCCGGCGTCCAGTTCTGGTGTCTATGACTCAGGAAGGATGTTGATAAATTGGGGAGGGTTCAGAGAAGAGCCATGAGGGTGATTACAGGGTTAGAAAATCTGCCATACAGTGAGACACTCTGGGAGCTCCGTCTCTTTAGCTTAGCAAGGAGCCGGTCAAGGGGCGTTGGGATCCCAGTCTGTAAGTACCTGCACCAGGAACAGAGATTTGCTAATGGGCTCTTCAGGCTAGCAGAGGAAGGTGTAACCGGATCCAATGGCTAGAAGCAGAAGCTAGACCAATGCAGACAGGAAAGGGGCTTACGTCTAACCGGGTGGGTAACCAACCACGGGAACAGTGTCCCAAGGGCCGGGCTGGATTCGCCAGCACTGGTAATTTTAGAGTCAAGACGGGACGTTTTTCTGCTCTGGTTCCACCACAGCATGCGGGGAGTGAAGCAGGGCTGGAGTAGTCAGTTCACTCCTTTGCATAAAATATTACCTGGGGAGTGGCAGGAAGCATGGCAGTGGTGCAACGGTTTCCCTTGTTGGGGGGGAGGGGGAAAGACAAGAAGCTGTTCTGGGTTACCTTTGCTTTTCTAGCCTGGCCCCAGGGCCCTGCCCCACCCTCTCCAACTGCAACCAGAACCTGGGGACCTGGCCTGGGCTCTCTCGGTGCCAAGTTTATGACCCCTTAGCACAGCGCCTGGGGCAATCAGAACGCCCCACCCCCAAGTAAGAGGGACAAGTCTGCCCCACCCCATCCCCCATCTGTCTCATCCCTGCCTTAGTGTCCTTACAGCCCTGGGCTCTGGGGCAGACGCAACCCCCTTTGCACACACCCCCGCCCACCTGAAGGGCAGGTGCTTGTGTTCTGTCATCCACCAGCCAGAATGGCAGCTTTCAACAAAGCCAGCTCCAGCACCATGCCTGGGCACTGGGCCAGCACCAGCTCCCAGGAGCGCTCCTCCCGCATGGCCCCAAGCCATGCACCGAGCCAGCCTTTTGCACAGCACAGGGTTGTGGGCTGCGACATGCCCAGCTGAGATCACACCTGGGAAGTGGCACCCCAGACCAGGCCAGCTTCCCACTGCAGAGCCCTTGCTGTGATGTGCGGAGCGGACGTCCCGTGACACGGGCACTGCTGCAGGCCAGAGCTGCCGGGTAGCGGGCGGGGCGCTGGGAGGACGCTCAGGGCTGTGGCTGACTTACCCAGAGCTGCCTGGCTGTTCACTGACCCCAGCTGGGGAAAGCAGCGGCTCCAAGCAGACCTCCTTCCTCCGGCAAGCGCTTGCTGCGGGACGGGTGTGTATGGTGCTGGGTGTGGGGTGAGGAAAGCCTGGATGGCAGTGCGCCCGGTTAGCACAGGCATGGTTCCCCGTTTGCTCAAGCAGACGCTGCAGTAGCCTTCCCCGCTCAGCTCCCTGCCTGCCCCCGCTGCTGCCCACAGCCCTGGCAGGCTGGTGCTCCTCCCTGGCTGGGGGCACTGTGGGGGCAGCTCTGGAACTGCTGCCCCCTCTCAGCATGGGAGCAGCTAGGCTGGGCGGGGGCGGGGGGTGGCTCACTCTGCCAGGGTGTCTGCTCCCAGGCGTTAGCGTCTGTGGCCGTTTATCTGTGTGCACAGGGGGCCCCGGCTTCCTTCCAGGAGCTCCCAGCACGCCCTGCGGCTCCAAGCCCGGAGCAAGGCAGCAGCCCAGGGCAGCCAGACGCGGCGTCAGGCCAGTCAGAGCCCGGACCAGTACGGGAGATGGGGCCGCGCTCCAAGCCCAGGGTGCAGTGTGAATCCAGAGTTGCTGCGGGGGGGTGAGTCCGGATCCACCCCGCGCCCCTGAGAGCAGAACCTGCTCCCTGGGGCAGGGGTAAGAGATGCCACGGCCGGCGCCGCTCAGTGCTTGTGTCCACAGGGCGAGACGCACTGGCGTGGGCACTGCTTGGCACGTGACACAAGCGTGGGCAAGCGCAAATGCTCACGTGGGCACAGTCTGGACGCAGAAAGAGTCAGGTGGGCACACTGGCGCACCCCCCGACATGCGCTGGGGCACACGGACACTCGCATGGGCACATGCTGGCTTGCGTACTCGCGTGGGCATGCCCTGGCACAAACACAACCAGACCGGCGTGCGCAGAGGGAAGCTGCTGCAAACAAAGCCCTCGCAGAGGCATGCAGCGCCCGGGGCGGGAGTGTCTGGATCCGGCGCTGGGGAGACCCTGCCTGTCAAACAGGGGACCCAGAGTCCGGCGCGGACAGTCAGCGCGAGGAAGGGGAGTGTTGGCTCCTGGGGAGTCTGATGGGGAGCGGTGTGGCGTGTGGGGCAGTATAGGGGGTGCTGTGGTGTGTGGGGCAGTGCAGGGTGGTGGGTGGGGCAGTGCGGTGTGGTGTGGGGCAGTGCAGGGTGTGGTGTGGAGCAGTGCAGGGTGCGGTGTGGGGCAGTAGAGGGGGTGCTGTGGTGTGGGGCAGTGCAGGGTGGTGTGTGGGGCAGTGTGGTGTGGTGTGGGGCAGTGCAGGGTGTGGTGTGGGGCAGTGCGGCGTGGTGTGGAGCAGTGCAGGGTGTGGTGTGGGGCAGTAGAGGGGGTGCTGTGGTGTGGGGCAGTGCGGCGTGGTGTGGGGCAGTATAGGGGGTGTGGTGTGGGGCAGTGCAGGGTGTGGTGTGGGGCAGTATTGGGGGTGCTGTGGTGTGTGGGGCAGTATAGGGGGGGTGGTGGGGCAGTGCAGGGTGGGTGTGGGGAGTGGGGGGTGTGGAGAGTGAGGGTGGGTGTGGGGCAGTAGAGGGGGTGTGTGGTGTGGGGCAGTGCGGTGTGGTGTGGGGCAGTATAGGGGGTGTGGGTGGGGAGTGCAGGGTGTGGTGTGGGGCAGTATTGGGGGGTGCTGTGGTGTGTGGGGCAGAAGGGGGTGGTGTGTGGGGCAGTGCAGGGTGGTGTGTGGGGCAGTGCGGCGTGGTGTGGGGCAGTATAGGGGGTGTGGTATGGGGCAGTGCAGGGTGTGGTGTGGGGCAGTATTGGGGGTGCTGTGGTGTGTGGGGCAGTGCAGGGTGTGGTGTGGGGCAGTATTGGGGGTGCTGTGGTGTGTGGGGCAGTGCAGGGTGTGGTGTGGGGCAGTGCGGCGTGGTGTGGAGCAGTGCAGGGTGTGGTGTGGGGCAGTAGAGGGGGTGCTGTGCTGTGGGGCAGGGCGGTGGGGTGTGGGGCAGTGCAGGGTGCGGTGTGGGGCAGTGCGGTGTGGTGTGGGGCAGTATTGGGGGTGCTGTGGTGTGTGGGGCAGTATAGGGGGTGCGGTGTGGGGCAGTGCAGGGTGGTGGGTGTGGTGGGGGCAGTGCGGCGTGGTGTGGAGCAGTGCAGGGTGCGGTGTGGGGCAGTAGAGGGGGTGCTGTGGTGTGGGGCAGTGCGGTGTGGTGTGGGGCAGTATAGGGGGTGCGGTGTGGGGCAGTGCGGTGTGGTGTGGGGCAGTATAGGGGGTGCGGTGTGGGGCAGTGCAGGGGTGGTGTGTGGGGCAGTGCGGCGTGGTGTGGAGCAGTGCAGGGTGCGGTGTGGGGCAGTAGAGGGGGTGCTGTGGTGTGGAGCAGTGCAGGGTGCGGTGTGGGGCAGTAGAGGGGGTGCTGTGGTGTGGGGCAGTGCAGGGGTGGTGTGTGGGGCAGTGCGGCGTGGTGTGGGGCAGTGCAGGGTGGTGTGTGGGGCCGCGAGCCATGTAGGACACTGTGGTACCATCTCAGGCACTCTGCCCCCCGTGTGTCCATCTGTCCGTCCCTTGAGACTGTGTTTGCCTCTTTTCCAGGCAAGCAGTCGGGAGGTGGGAGATCTCAGGCCAGCTCGGAGGTAAGAGTCGCGTCCCCCCCCGGCCCCGGGGGAGCCATTCTCCCGCATCGACCGATAACGTACCGACCCGTGTCCCGGACGCGCCGTCCCCGCCTCTCCCACCCCCACCTGGCCACACGGTCACTGCCGCACCCCCCCGGTCCCTCCTCGCTCCCTGCGCCATCCCTTGTCCCCAGCTCAGCTCAGCTGCTGCGTCCCGGCCCCCTGGACAGCAGCTGTGGGGAGCCCCCCCTCGACGGTCTGCAAAGCACCGCGTCTCAGGCCTGCCTGCCGATCCTCCCAGAGCCGGTGCCCTGCCACGAGCAGCTCTGCGCCATCCCGGGGCAGGGCCACGTGCGCTGGGACCTTTGTCCCGGCCCTCGAGGGGCCCACTCGCCGGGCGGTGAAAGGCGCCCATTGTCTGGGCTGCTAATGAGGGAAGTCACTTCAGCACCGCACCAGCGGCTGGCCCAGCACAAAGCCCTTCGCTGGGAGAGAGTGAGTGGCTGGGCACAGCCTCCCTTGCAGCCACGGCACACGGCCGCCCGCTCCCAGCAGGGCGCACCCACTGGGGGGCGCTCCCGGCTTCCCCAGCCCGGCCTCTCCCAGCAGGGGGCGCTGTGGGGAGCCGGGCACGGCACCGGCTGGGGGATGGGGGCGAGCTCCTGGCTACCCCAGCCCTGGCCTGTTCCGGCAGTGGGGCAGAGCACTGGCTGTGCGACGGGGGGGGGAGCTCCCAGTAACTTCAGCCCCAGCAGGGGGCGCTGTGGGGAGCGGGGCATGTCACTGGCTGGGGGAGAGCTCCCGGCCTGTTTCAGCAGGGGGCGCTGCAGGGAACATGCTGGTGCCGTGTGCAGTGGGAGCCTGCCGGCCCCAGGGTCATGGCAGCAGGGTGGGCTGGGGCTGGGCTAGGGCCTGGCTGGGGAGCCCGGGGCATCCTGGCTGGGACTGACGAGGCCCCTTTGCCTTGTTTCCGGCCTGTCGCCTGCAGAAGAGAAGGAAGAAGGGTGCGAAGCAGAACCCTGCTCCCAGCCGGCGGGAGCAGCCCCAGAGAGCACGGGGGCCGCTGCACAAGGAGCCCAGGAGGGCCAGCACACGCCTGGCAGCCCAGCGACAGGTAGGAGCCCCGGTGGGATGCTGTGCAGCGTGGGGGCTGGGTAATAGCTTCACTGGCACAAGGGCTCTGGGCGCGCCACTTCCGCGCCTCGGGCAGCTGGGCGGGGGCTGCTCGCAGGGGGAGTGTCCCCATCTCCGGTTCTGCCCCATTTTGCCGGCGGAGGCCCAGGCTGTGCACTGTGACTGGGTCTGTGTCTCCGCGTGCCCTTGTTCCTGCCGAGGGGCGAGGGAATGGCCGGTCCCAGCCCCGCTCACCGCTGGCTCGGCAGCTGGGACCCGTGCCGCAGGCAGGGCTTGCTGGGGAGCCCGTGGGCAGCAGGGCGCTGGGTGGTGCATAGGTGCTGGGTGGGGCTGCTCTGACTGCGTCTCTGTAACGTGCCTCTGTTCTAGCTTCTCCCCAGTGTCCCTCAGGCTCCTGTTTGGCTGGTCCCCTCCCCGTGGGAGGGTGCTGCAGAGCCCTTTGCTGCGGCCTCCTGTCTGGGGAGCGTCTCCGCCCTGGGGTGACTGCCCCGAGACGCAGGGCCTGGAGCAGCAAAGGCCTGGCTTGCGCAGAGTTTGCACTGGGAGAACTGGTCAGTGGTACAGTCCTAGCGGAGCAAGCCCTGCTGTGGGCGTAGGCACATCGGTCTAATGGCATCTTGTCTCAGTACAGCTTCTTCCCTTGCCGACAGGGAGAGCTCCCCAGGATAACACCAGTGTCCGCATGGCTGTGACGAAGTGGGACTGTTCTTAATGTTTCCTCTGAATAGTGTGGGGGTGCCTCAGTTTCCCCTAGGCAGTTCTTAAGTATCTAGGGGGTGGAGTAAGGGTGTATGATCATTGCAGAGCCCTAGAGGGCAGGTGTGTGCAGGAGTCTGGACACAGAGAATGGCCGACACCCTGTTTCCTGGCAACTGACGGCCTGGGCCCTTCCCCCCCCTGCAAGGTGAGAGCTGAAGGGTTGGAGAACAAAGGAATCAGGTGACCACCTGGCCCGGGAAAGGAACAAAGCCCAGAGGAGGAGGGGCTGGAGGGAGTTTCAGTTTGGGGCTGGCTGGGACATGGAGTGAAGTGCAGACGTGGTTGTCTGGCTCACTGCCCCCCAAAATGGACCCAGCTGAGGGGTCCTGTTCTCTGCACCTGCAAGCTCTGTGTTAGACCATGTTCCTGTCGTCTAATAAACCTTCTGTTTTACTGGCTGTCTGAGAGTCACGTCTGACTGCGAAGTTGGGGTGCAGGACCCTCTGGCTTCCCCAGGAGCCCCGCCTGAGCGGACTCGCTGTGGGAAGCGCACGGAGGGGCAGAGGATGCTGAATGCTCCAAGGTCAGACCCAGGAAGGTGGAAGCTGTGTGAGCTGCGTGTCCTGAAGACAGGCTGCTCCCAGAAAGGCGACTGCCCCAGAGTCCTGCCTGGCTTCATGGGGAGCCGTTCCAGAGCATCGCCCAGGGACTCCGTGACAACTGGTGGCAGCGGTGGGATGTACTGCACCCCGTGGATGGTGCTTCCTGCAGTAAGTGACTGGGGAGCAGTAACACGAAGGGGGACTGACGAGGACCAGGCATGCTGAAGGCTCAGAGAGGAGCAGTTTCAGGGGGCGGTTAACCCCTGGGAGTGTGTGACCAGCGAGAAGGACTGTGCAGTAATGGGGTCCCCCTGGGGACTGAAGCGAGCAGTCTCAGGGGCGGATGAGTCTGCAGCTCGACCCTGGCAAAGAGGTGGTGACCTCGAGAAGGGCTGGCACACTAGGGGTTCTCCAAGG